TATTTACACAAATGTCAGGTTTTGGCATGTGATTAACCTTCAATACCTGGTATACTGTAAGTATATTTTGTGTCCACTTTGTAATGTACTTTGTTCTACATTAGAATTTATATTTAACTTAAAAATTAATTTTACTCACAAAGATACATGTTTAATAAATAAATAAATCTGTGTGAGTATACAGTAACTATGGCAAATATATTTGTTATTTATGTGAAACGAAAAAACCGAGAACTTTAGATGAAGTTTCAGGTGGATACATATTGATATTTGATTGGTAAATATAAGTTCATTTTGCTATGATCAGTTTCACACATTAATTATAACAATATGTGTAAATTATTATTATCAGAATGTGTTTTGTGGAGATTTTTAGAAATTTTCATAGATTGAAATCATGAAATCAACTGGCTCATGATTTCAATCTATGAAAATTTCTAAAAATCTCCACAAAACACATTCTGATAATAATAATCACCTGCTCACTAGTGACTGACTTCAGGAGACACTTCTGGAGTTCTAGTGAGAAGTCGTTACCAGTGGAGTTCAACCAGGTCTGTTGTGAGATATCGGCTCACTGAAGACATTGGTGTTCGATGGCGCAACTTCGTGGATTGGTTGAAGTTAGACATTAACACCGTTGGATGCCGGCTCAGTGGTCTAATGGTTAAGTGCTCGCGCGCGAAGCCAGTATATCCTGGGTTCGAGCCCCGCGTGGTGCGGGATCGTGGATGCGCACTGCTGAGGAGTCCCATACTAGGACGAAACGGCCGTCCAGTGCTTCCAGGTTTTCAATGGTGGTCTAGCTTCAACTGGCTCATGATTTCAATCTATGAGAATATGTGTAAATTATGTTTTGTATAATCTCATTTTAAAAATATTCTAACAAAAAGGTTGTCGGTTTATTTGGTATCTGGCTAGTAGTGGAGTCCACAATACGCGTCTCGTCCCATTCGGAACTCGTCGACAGGATATACTTAGATTCCAATGTTGACATTCAAAATATTCATCCTGAATTTTACTACTAGTCACATTCTGAATATACTAGATCTTCTAACATGAAGTTACATCGAAACCGTCCCCTGAGAATGCACATTTACCAATAAAGACTGATCAAAATCCAATTCTAATTCTAAATAATAGAGTAAATCAAACTCTTCCTTATAATGATATTGACAGGTAAATTACTGTTCAGATATACATAAATAGGTATACCCTCTAAATTAACAGAATAATTCATATCTTTTACAAAATTATCATCTCACGATTACTAGATCATAATAAAAATTCCTTACTGAATTCGAATTTTTTAAAAAAAGCGGTACTTTCCTGTGTTAAATAAAATTTCTATTTTTAGCCATTTTTAAATTATTAAAACCAATCATTATATGTGAAAATTATATTTGAAATAATCTCAGCGACTGAAATCTGAATAATTCCAACTTTTCGTCCAGCTAACTTATCACCCTGAAGAAGTCCAGACAAGTTAGCTGGACGAAACGTTGGAATTATTCAGATTTCAGTCGCTGAGATTATTTCAAATATAATTTTCACATATAATGACTTCTCTATACTCGGTGCCCAATTTCTTTCGAATTATTCGTTCAAATCTTGACCAATATTCCTATATATTAAGACCAATGTTTTAACTTCAATTGAATTCCCTTTAATTTATGTATTAAAAAGAGTATTGCTTTTGAAATTTTTATTATATGTACTCATTTTATAAATACAATATATTTATGAATTGTTTTATCACTTCTTAGACTTGAATAGTTCATTGACAAACTGATGCATTATTTCATTTCCTCATTCTTATCGATATCCAAGTTGTTTTCTGAGTTATTATCTGAGAAGCGTCGAATTTCCACATCGTCAATATCCTGAATCTAACATTCGAAGTCAAAAAGGTTGGTTTCGTGAAGTATACACAGACCTAATAGTTCATGATAATAAGTTTGTGAGTGATAAGGCTTCAGAAGCGAATAATACCGAATACACTATAAATTCAATTCAAATTCAATTGAAATGGTCTTCAAATCTGTTAAGAGTTACTTAGCGAATGATAGGAGCTAGATGTATTAATAGACTCCAGTAGACCAAGTTTAATAGCAAAAATAAAAACATAGCTGACTCTATCCGTAAACAATAACGAGATCGCTTTGAAAATTTTATAATACTGAAGGCTGACGGAATCATAAAGAGTAAAGAAAAAGGTGAAAGAGAACTAGACAGGAAACACTATTCTTTTCACGATTACTGAAAGTGAGAATTTTGAAGTAACTTGTTCCCACTTGAAATTCAAGAAACAAGAGCTGTTAGTCAGCTTAGTTTGTCTCAGCAGCAAGAAAAATGAGATTTTACTAGCCAACCTTGAAACTTTATCTTCTGATAGCAGATGTTCAATCTTTGGTGAGTTTAAAGCATACATTATACACTGGATAATCTAAGGGTGGAGGTATTAGAAAAATCATTTGAATATGGCGAAAAAATCTGCCCTTGTGCACCATTTTAAAGAACTAACAAAATATGACCTGAATTCGTCGTTATCGTTGTTAAATATTGTATTCATTCACCACAAGAACGATATCACTAACCGAAATTACGTACCATCACCTGTGAAAAATGATCATGGAATGTAACTTTTCGTTTTACGTGATCAAACAGTGATGTAAATTCGCGGCAGCCAAATCAAATGTTTGAAAAGTAAATCTTTAAATAACCATATACCTAGTGTTAATTGTAGGTTGTTCTGTCGGACCAGAGGTTGTCCAAAACATGACTTGTGACGTCTTTAGAAATTTACACACGAATTACTGAACGGTAAATGCCACGGATAATACCATATAAACTGAGAAACTGTCCACAAAGGTCCATCAAAGAGGTCCGTACTCTTCTCAATCAAAGGAAAATAATGCAGAAAAATTAGGTCACTAGATTCTTGGAAAACCATGTCTCGGTATCGAAAAACTATAAATATTTGTGTGTCAATCTAATGAAAGTCCAGAAGAGATTTAAAAGTACAATTTCTTAATAGTTTTAAGTAAACTGCAGGGAAGAGCTAACGTATCATAACAACATATGAAGGGTGTCTATTTCATTAATACATGAGGTATCTTAAGACCCTTTTCATAAATATGTATATACAGTAGACACCTTTCTTACAGAAATACTAAAATCATAATATCCACATTCTGGATTCTGTGATAATTCAATAACTCGAAGTCCTTAGACTACTAAATAAGCCCTATGTAGGCGAATTAACTGGCCGGATGAAATCATTACTAGACCACGTAGAGAACTTGTGGTTTTCATTTCAAAATACTTGCTTGTTTATTTTATTCCGTTTTTGATGCAGGATAAGTTTCCCACTTCATCAATATATAGAAGACAATACAACACGAAAGGTGTAGTGCATAAATTCACAATGTAGAAGAATGGTACAGCGCTTGGAAAGAAAAAGTTAATAAAGCCAAACCCAATGTGATATGTATTGAAAGTTAGTTTCACAAGACCAGAACAAATTACTTAGCAAGTAAATTTCCCAAGAAACCATTAATAAGTGCCAATTTTTGCCTCAAAAAATGGTTAAAACTCTTTAACTTCGTGATCTCATTTTTCAAAAGATTGTTACGTAACACTTTTTTCTAAGACCTTATTGATTATTCACTGTTTCTTGTATCTAATTTAAGGTTTACTCAGTAAGTCCATTTTTTAAAGTATTCCATAAGCTATGTTACTATTTTTTTTTAATTTTTAAATTTTTTTAAATTTCCATTCTCTTCTTAATGTCCTCTTCTAGAAGAATTCATATATTTAGCCTATGAATGAACTACTATTTAGACAAATTTTTATTTTTTGCATAATTATAGCCCTTCACAAAATTTTCTTATAAAATAGTAAGTATACTTTTACCAATATTCTTCAATATTTCAACGAATATTTTGACAGAAATCAGGCGCCAAGTATAAAGAAGATATTATCCGAATGTTTCGTCTAACAAACTTGTCTATACTTCTTCAAGGTACTAATTAAAATTTCAATCGCTGAGATTATTCCAAACATAAATTTCACAAATAATAGATATATTAGTCTTGTTGTTTCATTGAATCATACAATTGTTCCTAGGTTCCAAGCAGTTGGAGTGAATCTATGAAGAAAATTAAATCTCTTAAGATCGTTATTCTTGCTTTATTTAAACGTTTTATTTTGAATTGTTTATGCGATCATGATTATCTACGGTTAGTGAGTTGCACACTAGAACAAAAGAACTCTTTGGCTTTCAACGATTTCCCATCTGATTGTTATACACTAAGCAATGTGTTTGTACTTAACGGTGATTAAAACTGTTTTCTGTTAAGTAGTGTAAATTTGATGTTTAAATTAAGTAAGATAATGATATGATTCGTTGTATTTATGAGAAAAAAATACCACAACTGATGAAAATCATTCCAAATTATTAAAATACTCGTTCGATACTTTAATATATTTTACTTAATAAAAAACAAGTATGATTAAGTATAGTATTATGATAAAACAACACGATAATATAAATCATGTATCAACAACCCCCCCCCACACACACAAATTCACATATTCAACTTTGGGTTATACTTTATGTTTGAAGGCTAATGATACTAAATGAATAAATACCCGCATAGAATCAAGTTGATTAAGGGTCCAACTAATAAATGACTATAGGTATGATTAATAAGGTTTGGTTTAATAATTTTGAAGAAACTGAGGATTGGATAGGTTGTTATAAATAAATTAATATATTTGTATTATTATTTATTCTCCGAAGAAGTGGCTTACACTGAGTCACGAAACGTCAGAAAATTTAAATTTCCTACTCATTCGGATATTACAAATATATCAATTCATTTACAATAAATTACTGTTTAAAAAGGCATATGTTATAATAACCAATAAACTTCAATTTCACTGTTATAAAATAGCCAATTGATAATTGAGGTTTTTAACTACCTATACTAATTAGTTCAATATTTATTATTATTAATATTGGTAGTAGTAGTAGTAGTAGAAGTAGAAGTAGAAGTAGAAGTAGTAGAAGTAGAAGTAGTAGTAGTAGTAGTAGTAGTAGTAGTAGTAGTAGTAGTAGTAGTAGTAGTAGTAGTAGTAGTAGTAGTAGTAGTAGTAGTAGTAGTAGTAGTAGTAGTAGTAGTAGTAGTAGTAGTAGTAGTCCTGACAAGACGATCAGTCAAGAGGAATTACCTGAAATAAAATTTTAAAAATGTAGATTATTTTTCACTGAATGAATAACTTGTTTTAAATCTTCAGAAACTTCTATTGATAACATAGTTATAAGTAGATTTTATGTTAATTTTTTCCTAAATCTAATAAGCACTTTTTAATTTTATTTATAAGCTTAAATTGTCCCATTATTATTATTATTATTATTATTATTATTATTATTATTATTATTATTATTATTATTATAGTTGATTTAAGCGTTATTTATTGCCAGATTTCATAATTACTTTTAAAGCAAAGACTACAAGCTATGATTGTCATACATTGGTTTTATTTTCATGTAATTCCACTTCACCCAATATCACAAAAGAAATAATAACTAATTAATTACATTCTAATATTTACTTTAACTAATCATGGTTATTGGTTTATTAAATAGACATGCATATTTCTTATAATCATTAAACTGAAATTTGTAGGTTTGAACATACGCACATTTACACACACACATGGATACATACAAATCAAGTGCATGAGTAATACTAAAACGATCTAATAGTTTACAATCAAATTTAATTTTATCCGTCATAATGCTCAAATGTAAAATAATAATAAACTAAGAAAATTAATTCCATGATAGGTAAATTATAAATAGATTTTTCGCCAAACAAAATTCTATTTTGATTCTTCTTTATTAACTTGTTCCGCCTTTTTTTTATATTGTAAACAAGTAAATGTTCATTTAAGGTAAACAAAATAACAAACATGTTAGTCTCCTACAGTGTCCACTAATTCAAATCACTAAACTAAGAGCTATATTTGAAATTCTAAAAAATAATTCTGTTAAAAAATTAGTATTATGGTTAAGTGTTGTTAGTGATTAGATTTGAAGTAAATTGTAGTATTTAGTTAAAATACAATTAGTAGCTTATAGATAATGAACTGTAATTCGTTACTAATTAAGGTATGCGACCCAATTCTCAATTCATAGACAGATAAACAAAATTCAATATGTAATTCATAAGAATTTAGTAAAATATATTCAAGGAAACATGAAATGAAATAAAGACTTAACTAAGAATTGTTCAAACATTATGAAAACGATACCAATTACAATATAAGTGTAGTTTTACTTTTTAAACAGAAGTAATTATTCACCTAAATTTACTAATCCAAGCCTTATTAATATGGTTATTTGTATTTCAGGTGTATCAAATATCTAAATAGGGGATTTCCACTCAAGTTTACGACATAAAATCATTCTATTTAAATCTTTATTACTGTGTTAATTATAAGTTTGACAAACCACTTTACATGTGACAAAATATCAACTTATTTATGTTCCTCACTTCCTAGTTTTGATGGAGTTTTGTTCCCTAAGCTGGATAGTTTGGTCATGGTTATTGAAATTTTTCTAAATATTCTCTCATATTATGTAATTTATCAGTAAAACGTAAAGTCTGTTCGTCTGAAACAAGTCTTTATTATTCTTGTGTAAAATTATAATTCTATGAAGTTGTTGAGTACTGAACTACATTTGTGACACTTCAGCAACTCTAAAGATTCATATCATATCATAAATGAATTCAAGTCAAAAAATAGTACTTATTAGATTACGATTTATAAGTTCAGTGTTTATTACCTGAAAATAAAAGTTTCAACTGTACAGTATTGAACATTAAAATAAATCATATTTTTTTTATATTACTGAAGATTTCTAACGATAGAATATAAAATCCACTTCAGTACTGTTTCCATTTTTGTATACATCTAAACGATCAAAACCTTTTGTGAAATTTTCCTCTTAAAATAGAATTAAATGATAAGAACTAATAGATAATTGTTCAATAAATCAAATCAATCTTATCTTAACGCGACATAAGTCTCGCAGTGTAAATCTCTTGGCCTACTGAGTATACCACATTATACAACACTAATTCACATAGTAAAATTATTACGCAATATTGAGAAGATAAAAATATCAGAGTATTTATTTATTTCAGCTTATTTTTTAGTCTAATTTTCAACTTTTTTCTTGATACATTTTTATCAAAGTCCAAATATTCGGGCTCATGATATTGTTTGGCTTGTATCTTCCCATTGAGGTTTAAGACTGCAATTGATCAATCTGTTATTGGCATATGTGCATAAGCACAAGCAAGTGGCTGAGTGGATAATGCGATGGCATTTGAAGCGAATGGTACTGGGTTCGAGTCACAGAGTGAACATCAACTCTGAGATGCAGGTACATCCAGCTGATGAGTCCCAAATAAGAAGAAACGCGCGTCTTGGATTCAACCACTCGCTAGCATCTATCATTGCTTCATTGGAATAGCTTATAATTCGAAAATTGTAATAAATATACTGGTATTTTTGGACAGTAACTTAAAAAGAAATATTAAAGAGGAAGAATATATTCGTAAAATGTCAGCGAATATAAAAATTATATTCGATAATTTTGTTGTTTGATTATATTTTCCTTGAAAAAGCTTGGACCAGATTGCCAGGCAAAACGTTGGATTTACTTCAAATTCTTTCGCTGAGATTTTACAAATACATTCTTCTTCTTTAATGTTTCACATTAACTCGGCTCCCAGATATTGTGAAACTATTCGTTCAAATTTAGACGAAAGTTCTTATTTATGAGAAAGAAATAGCTTTTAGTTTAACTATCAACATATTATTATTATTAAGATTTCACGTTTTCTCCGCATCACTAGCATCGTTGTCATTTTCATGTTCTTTGTTACTGTCATTTTGTTTTATAACGAAATTCTTTCTTCTTTCGGACAGTTTTACAGTTTCGGAACAAGTGCTGGAAAGTACAGCATTTTTAACCTTGTTATGTCTGCGAATCATAAGTCTGTATGTATGTGTGTATGTGTATGTTTATTTGGGCATAGACCCTGTCTTTTTTTGTTTAATCCCCAAGTATTACTGGTACTGAACTTTAATAAAAATTTCTTTATTAAGTATTAAAGCTATTCTATTCAGTCTTATTCTTAGTCATGAAATTTTTTAAACTTATTTTGGTAGACGTGTATCAAGTGAACACACACATAGACTTACACTCAAAGTTGTATGTCTCCTACCCCATACATCCATACTGATAGACAATGAATATATGAATCACTATAACTTATCACTCTTGATAAGTTGGCCGGAATCCAGATTTGAAATGTCTGTCTTTTTTAATAAAGTTATATGATTTATTTATAACTAATTGTCAGATTAGAAATTAAAGTACATTTTTTGAATAAATATGCAATAGCATTCAGTTTGTTTGTCTATTTTGATCAGTTTGGCATTAATAAAATAAAGGTTAAAATTGGTAATGGGACTTAATAGATCTGGTGGTTAGATGTTCATTGAAAAACCTGAACACCCAAGGTTCAGTCTCTTTAGGTTACATGCGTAGTGCTGAGATGTCATATACTAAGACGAAACAGATGTTTACTACACCCTAGTTTCTCGTGGTACTCCAGATAGGACTGATCCTTGAGGAATGTCAGTCACAAATGGAAATGATCTTCACATTACCTCTTCATCTAAAAAAAAAACAAATCATTTGACTTTAAAACTTCTGAATGAAAAGTTTAGGGAATGTTTTGCTAAAAAGTTTCGAAAGAATGTTTCTTTAAGGATTCAGTGATGCCCAGCTTACATATCTCCTTAAATCTCTAACTTGTAAATAGGAAACTATACTCATTACCGATCTCAAATTTACTAAAACCTTGTGAGTAAATCAAAATATTTAGTATACTCAAGATTTTCATGAACAATGGAGAATGGTCAATTGCAATAGACAACATTAATGGCGGAAAAGTACAAATCCTAAGAACTTAATAATGATGTGTTTTATAAACTAAACCATCCATGATATTGTCATCTCTGGTTTGTATCACTGACGGCATACTGGGATTATCTAACACTAGAAACAATGGACCGTATAATTGTTACAGTTAGGCTATTGACAACATTGCATGACGGATAAACGTTAACTAATTCTTAGATTACTCTTTAATAAATGGAATTTTAACAAGATAAGCCCTATAAGATATCATTAATCAGATAAAAACAAAATAGGCATGAGATTTCTGTTGGATAGGTCGTTTCACCTAGATTCGTTGTTAATATAGTTGAGTGATTCTAAAATTTGTTGATCAGATTCATATTGGTAGGTATGATTCGATTCCTTGAGATCAATGCATCTGGTAAAACCTCCACAATGGCTAATTTAAAGTAGGAAAACAGTAACAACATCATGTTAGTTGTAGAAACACAATTCTATGTAAATTTACAGTTTTTCATCTAATATGCACACATTAAATAGTATTCAAAAAGATGTTTCTTTATTAGTTTGTTCGGCGAGACTACAATTGATGGATGAGCCAATCAGATTTACGATAACAGATCTTGGATTTTGGTGCGAAATTCATTCACCCATCCGGTTAAAGAGCAGTTTTGCATTTTGTCTGGTGTCAGTTTGTGATGAAAACCATCTAACCCTAACCAGCAACTGTAAATCATTATTTTTATTTTTCGCATTCATTTAACCCTAGTAAGTAGGTGAATATTCTCAAGGTCACTTTAGCGTCACTCAAAGGTCGTCCATAAATTATAGTCTCATCGATTATAACTGTATTTTCGATTAAATAGTTTTAATTTAGTCAGTATTTTTTCTAGATGTACCCAATAAATCTATGCACTGGATGTGATTTTAGGATTAACTAAAAATTAAGGAAGTTGGCTTAATATATTGTAAATTGTTTAGGTCTAAAGTATTTCGTCATGTTCGAAGCTAATTAAAGGTGAGATCTATCTGAATCAAATGATACTGGGCAGTGCTTTTTTATTATTTTATTAATTGTTTCATTTTGAACTATGTAATAAGCCTAGAGTAGTTCTAGTCATACACTTCCGGTCAGAATATAATAACTACTCAGTTCTTTATGGTTTTAACTGGTTTTCTAACACACATTCACTTGTCCTGATACATTGACAGTGTTAAATAATCTAAGCATATACTGTTGGACATAGAATTATACTAACTTTATTAAAATATATTTGTCTCTAAATAGATCTGTTCATTGAGTATTTAAAACATTGTATAAAATATTTATCCACTTCACCTTTTAATAACTAAAAATTCAATGGTAAATTTCCAATTATTGAGCCATGATCTATTATGAATTAAATCAGAATACACTGACTTTTAATGGTTTTATAAATAATGGTGTTATGCCAACGAGATTTTCATTGGATTTTGTAACTGTTATGTTATTATGGCTTATTTTTTGTTATTAACAATTTATGCGTCAAGTGGTGTCTGAAATAAATTAACAACAACCTGAAGAACCGTTAATCCACAATTTTCAACATCATTCAATTTTGGAAATAGTGCAATCTTTAATGGATGCTATAAGTGAGCTACTGCTTTAATTTAACCACCGGGACTTCAGAAAATCATTCCTAAAGTTATTCAGTATTGAGCAAATAATTATTGGCTAGTTGAGTGATTTCGCAGATATTTTTATACATTTTCAGCAATCACTTAAAGCTGCTCAGACGACTCCAAATTACCCATAA